TAAAAAACCGTAAAAGTAGCAATTTTCAACGGCAGAAATCGTCATTGTGTATACTGCCGGCATCCAAACCTGTTATTAACCAATAGCTTGAAAATAAGTTAAGGCTAAAATACTTGAGATTTTGTAGGAGAAGATTTGAAGTTTAATTTGGACACTTTCCAACCTCAAAAATAAGAATGTTCAATCAATCTTTAAAGCATTTGAAATAGCCATTTTTATGATTTTATAGACGAGAAACTTAACTGTTTAAACATGGGTTATCTCCTACAACCACTTGATTTTATGTTAGGGAGCGTCAAACAAACACGATTTTGGAAAAAATCAAGCAGAAAATTTTCCTTCACGAACGAGAGGTGTTCGCCTACAGATACGAATATGTTGTCAGAAAATGTTGTACGCTTGTTCTTCTTCTATGTTCATTCTCCTATAAGAATTGCATCCAATTTGTACGGCCCATATTCAAAATTATAAACCATGGCTGTTGAAGATCTGCCACAGAAGGTCTTCGTACCAATGCCTAATTGTACGTACTACACTGGTGTTGTTTTAGTATAATTAATCATCGTAAACGCTTATGAAGCTATATACGCCCACGAATTTTCTAAATAATGCAAATGCCATGCAGATTCATGTTATCATGGAATAAATTGTTTATGCAAGGATTTAATGAAAGCATCATAATAAGAGATATTAAGTTTATTAAGTGAATTATACTATCACCATTAAGTATATGCGTAATGTTAATAATTCATTTTACATACAAACGGGACGACGAAAGGTATATCAAAAATTGCATACCGAATAAAAGTAATCACAATCGCAAAAAAGTTGTTGCGCACAAGTGGTGAGTTTTTTAAAGGAATGTAAACCAATGTAATGTGCTATTTCCAAAACGCGTTGTAGCACATCCTGTTTCAGCTCAAAATTCCGGTATGATATACTGGGTGTTTCAAATTCGACTTTTCTCATTAGGATTCCGAAAACGGCAAGAGAAATGAAGTTGGTTACCTTTAGGTAACTTAGACAGTGGCCTTTATAGAGGTTCGCAATACAGAGCATTTCCGGACATCGCAAAAAGCGAAATTCCCAAAGTCGTTTTTATTTATTCCCAATTTTCATTCAAAGTAATTCAGTATAATAGCTTAAATATTGATATTACCACTTTTCCTGTCATAGTTAGATTTTTAATTTGAAGTTCCGTTTCTTCTCCTCCAGCATCAACTTTATTTTTTTCTCATGGACGGCTTATTTAATTTTTACACAGGTGGATAGAGATAATTCTCATTGCTAAAATGTATAATATGTCATACACTGGTATTGCACAACCTGAGTTGTTAAGAAAAATAATATTTCCATAGCTGGCCTTGCTAATAATAATAATAAAAATAATAATCAAAGCCTTTCTAAAAGTGTATATACAGGGTGACTTCGAAGTTGAGTCATTTATTTTAACAGTGAGTAGATCTGATCAAAAGAAATGTTTTTTTCCTTTACCATTTTTCTGGTAAAATTAAAGTAACAAAGTTATAGCCCTTTGGAAGTTTGAGTACCGCCCTGTCTCAATAATAATATTATGTGCTCATGTTTGGCGACAACGGATATAATCCGCCTTATCTGTTCATCGCATCGGAAACAAAAAAGCGAAAGAATTTGAAACGTTTATCACGATTTCAGTCAATGTATGAGTCAGTAACGCGTGAGTGAATAGTGGTGTTTGTTGCGTGGCTCAAACGAAATAAAAAATGGCACATGTTTACGAAAATGGTGAACTTGTGGACATGATTCTTATTTACGGGGGGGGGGGGAGTCTTTACAAAATGCTGCCGCGGCATTACGGATTTATGCGAATCAGTTTCCCAATCGAGTTCAACCAACCCCTCGTGCTGTGTTAATGTAGTACAAAGGGCTCGTGAATCAGGTGACTTAAGACTTCACAGGGGAGGGCATGCCGGTGCTCCAAAACCGCACGATCAAATACAGGTCCGCACTGAAATACTTGTCGGGAGGATACTATATAAAACAAGGTAACATTTTTTTTTATTTTTTTTTTATTTATACACACATATTTTGGTTTATCTTCCTTCTACAATCATTATCTGAAAATTAATGACTAAACTTCAAAGTCACCCTGTATATATATATATATATATATATGTATATATAAAGCGTAACTGTAGTGGCGAAGTTTAACAAAATACTATTCTAAGTTAAATATATTGTTGTTAACAGTTTACACAAACCAAAAATAACAAGTCACTTACAGGGTATATGAAAAGTGAAAAATGAAAAGTTTTATTTGCACATACGGCTACTATAAACAGATCTGTATAAAATATTAACGAAAAAGTTAAACGTTTAAGAAAGTCAACATAACATTATAACGGAAACGTGGTAAGCTCATGGTTTTAAATATACTGTCAAAAGAATTATATATTGCTGCAACATTATTTGAGAAAATTCCTTGGAACAAAGTTGTTGCATCCTTCGGAATTCTGAAAATGTGTCTGCTCTCAACTTTGCATATTTATGAAATACATGGTCCAAACAGGAAAATATAGGATACTACAGTAGTTCAAGGCAAATAAAACCAAGGCCTCGCAACGTTTCTTCCGAATTCTGCTTATTACTTGCAAGTTCGATTACATGATGAATAATAACTGTTTCGGTTGTCACGAAGCGTGCTTATACCTTTCCTATTTGTAAGAAACGTTGTTTTTAGCATAACGGAGGCTCGGTACATAACACCTCAGGCCTAAATTAATATTAGTTACATCGGTTTGAATATGAAATCCCCAAAAATTGTATACCTAAATGAAACTTATAAAAAGGATAAACCAAAACCCTAAAATATATATTTGAATTTTTCGAGAAAATAAACATACATCTGGCGTTTATTAATGCTCTGAGAAGACAATGCACAATACTTAAAATAATAAAACAAATGATCAGGCGATGAGAAAATATGGGATATGAAACTCATTTTGACGAAGAGTTTGCTACTCTATCTGCAGAGATGATTATTTTAAAAGTTATTGAAGTTGAGTGTTTTTTTGAACAAAAAATATCCCTTAGCTCCTGAACTAGCAAACCAAACTGTATGATATGATACAAAAGCATACTCTAAAGGTTTTGCAATACAGCTTTATTTATTGACTTCGTTCAAAGTAATTTCAACCATGTTTAATACACTTCTCCATCCTCCAAAATCAGTCCTGAAGCCAGCTCTGCCAAATTTCAGTACCACCATTCGTTCTCATAAGTCCTCTGAAGGTCCTCATCTCTAAAAAGTCGTTTTCCTTTGTAGCTTCATTGTGCCATGTGGAATGGTGGAGGTTCCAAGTGTACATTCTTGACTTTGGCCACATGATTTTCATTTACGCACGCTCCAAAATCCCGCTCAATTTGAAAAATGCAGCTATCATTTTTTCTTAACAGATCGGGATTTTCTGACAGCTACGGATGTGTCCTCATCATCAAAGACCCAAACCTTGTTTTAAGCCTTGGTCGGCATATCGTAATAATAGAGTCTCGTCACCTATCACGATGCTGTTCACATACGGAGACTGCCCCTTATCAAACATTTTCAGCATCTTTCAGCACCAAGTCGTACGACGAGTCTTTTGCTCTTCCGTCAGACTATGCGGTACCCAGAGAGAACAAGGGTTAATTACGTGTAAATGGTCGTACAGAATTGAATGAATTTCTGATGCATGAAGGTGTAAGGTCTCTTTATCTGTTGGTACGTCACTCTCCGGTCTTCGTCAAGCATTTTCCTCAGAGCAGTAACGTTTTACTCTGTTACTGACGTTCGCTGTCTTCCTTCCCTCTCAGCGTCCTCCAAAGTGAAATTGCCCCTTTGGAATTCTCTTCCATCTGAATATAGTCTTACGATGAGGACAATCATTCTTTAATGCAAGCGTTATTTCTTCCAAGCACTGGTCTATGGTTAAACCACGCGTAATACCGCAAAACTGCGCTTATCTCGCTACGTGACCACGATGCCACAGTCCGTACTTTATATTGTCATGACGAATGAACAACTAAATCAACACACCTGCTGCTGGCGGCTACTATGCACTCATGGACATGTCTCAACATGCAGTAACATGCAACCTCCTGCGTCCGTTTGTTAAGTCATATCGCAAAGCTTTTATAATATCCTTTGTATACCAAAGTTTCTTTATGACCAAACATGGTATTCAATTCAAATGCACATATATGCTTGCGCTTCTACGTTGTTATGATGAATCATCCTGTAGAAAGCATAATATTTAGCAAACAACAACTCGAGAGACAGAAAACATGAGTGACAGTGGGTTTCGCACGTGTATCTCCTCCACTCCGTGGAGCCGATACCAATTAGCCTACAACACCTGCTGGCAACCAGCTTTTTGAATCGACTGTTAGAGACAATTTCAATCTCACCCACGTGACGCCACTGTTCCTTTGTTTTTTTCAAGCTGTTTGATGCTCCATCGGGCGGCGTCCAAGTGAAGATAAGGCCTCTAACAGTCGATCCTAAAAGATGGTTGGCAATTGGTTAGGTCGGATCGATAGAATCGAGGAGATGCGGGTTTGAATCCCGGCGGCGCCCATTTTTCCTTTCTCCAAAGTTGCTTACTAAACATACTCGCTCTTCTTTCCTGGTACGTAGCGTATATTTGCCTACAGCTTTTGCTACTGACTGTTCCGAATATTTTTGCTAGGAACAATTGTATTTTACTCATAGCATTTCGCCATTGCTTTCCTGAAACATGAGGACAACGAGTTGTAAGCGTGGACTTTCCGGTATGACGTAACCACTGGCACTAGCGCCGCGCCGCCAAATCCGGAGTACAAGCGGTACCACCATCCGCAAGGACCCCTTCGTGACGTCCCAGCGTCGCGCGGCTCCTCTCAAGTGAAAGTGGTAGCGTGAAAGTTAACTCTCTACCGACAGCCATCTACGATACCGCGTACCGCCGCGCCGTGCAGCCGTACCGCTGATCAGTCCGTCGTCGCCGGTCATACCCGGACAGTGCACCGCTCGACTGTTATTCTTTTGTTTTTCGGCGGAGTCGCTCGTGATGCGGTACCACCTTATCGCGCTGAAGTAGCCTCCGCGAGAGGAAAAAAGGATCTTCGCGACACACGCGGCACATTGTGATATTAGGGTAAACAGAGGGCTTTGACCAGGGGCAGTGGAGTGCATTTTGGATTGAAGGAGATTTGGATAAAGTACTTTGGATTGTTGTGGAGCTCGTTTTTTTTGTAGGGATTGGAGATCGAATATCTTGACAGTATCTTGAAACATATATCATTTTCGCAATATCACAACAGATAAGGAATTGAGAATTTGATATTTTAACCTTTAAACAAGGGCAAAACTTTGCATCCTGAGTAAAATTATTCGAATCTATTTTCTTGGATGCCACTTAATTGAGGCATTGCTGGGAGGTAATCCAATGCAATATACAAAAAAAATCGTTCCGAACAGTTTTTAATCATCCCGACGAAAAGAGTGGCAAAGTTTTTTTTGTTGAGTTGGCCGTATTTGAGATATAAACGCTTTAGTGTCTGGCCATCTTCAATGCTCAACAGCTCGGTTAAAAATTATTATTTTTGACGTTTCCAAGGGTTAAAGTTTAAACCTTCACCTACAAGGCCCCTGACAGTATTTTAGGGCTTGGTTTATTTTCAACCAAACTCACGAAAGGTTAGAAACTGAAAGCAGTACTGAAGCGATATGCTTCGAGTTTCCTTTCTTGTTTCACCCAAAATTGTCTATGTCCGAAACTATGAAAAACAGTTGGATGAAAATTATTTTATATCAACAGTATATAAAAAATATAATACATTATATATATATTATGTACTTACTGTATTCTAAGTATAAAAAATGCTTGAGTCTTGCATTTATTTTCTAAACAGTCACGTCGTTATCACACGAGGTATGGTAACCAACAAAATCGAGTGATGCTTTAGTAAGCTCAATCTCATTTTATTCATAACCCAGACAAAATACAGCAAGAAATATTTTAAGTTTGCAAAAATTCTACAAAGCTCAAAATTGGTACATACCATAGATTCACTATTATGATGAATATTTCAAAACTTCTCATATATCCTTGAAGCGGTTCCTTGTTTTATTTGGGTTGAAATGTCAAGAATATCAGGTTTTGTCATATTCTTGACATTGTCCAAGTACTTTTATTCCTTCAGTCATTTATGAGATCTAGTGATCTGTGGACTTTCAGGCACTCCTCGGCTCTTATGTGTACGCCATCGACCGGTCTATATCAACATATACATATGTGGAAGCGTTGATGTTTGCGACTTATACTAAAATACATACTACTTATATATGGTGTGTCAAAAAAACTGCTAGTGAATGAACAAATAGGGAAATTGAATTTTAGGGAAAAAGTCATACTTACTTGAAAATTGTTTCATGCCTTCAATATGTTATATTCGAGGTTATATGTCAAAATTGACATTTTTTACATTTTTCCTGAAACGGTACAAACAACCACAGAACAGCTTATGCCAATATTGTAGAGCATGCAAATCTCTATAAAACTTGCCCAATTCCATTTTTGTAAGTCAGTGTTAATGCTTTCCTTGGTCTATAGGATCTAAGCCACTGCTACGGCTCATGTTCTTTGTGCATTTTATCAATCGTTTGAAATGAACTGAAAGCAATAGGAATTATTCGACTGGATTATTAAGGTTCTTTGATTTACGAAACACTAACTTCAATATACGAGTTTTCAAAGTTTTGTCATTAAAATTGAATAAGAGTCACATAAAAATACTTTTTAATCGTTTTTCATCACTACGATGCGATCATAGATATGTAAGCATAACAGTTGAAATATGTAACTACTATTTGACAGTACATGATGGAACTCACAGCTGTGACCTATCGCAGTATACAGGATGTTGCATCATCATTATTTTGTCTAACAAAAACTCATTTCTTAATTTTTAATTAATCATAGTACCGCCAGGAATTTTTCAGTCGATATATTTTCAACATACCAATTTTGATATAAAATACGTTTCATCCATTTAACCGACTTGTGAAGGTCGTGTCTAATTCGGATCATAGACTATTTGGAAATGTCGTAGAATCGCCAGTTTCATTTCAGTTTCTCCGCTGCCAATGCACACGTGTTTACGACGACTCACCTTTATATCGACAACAAACGTTCCTATAAGCATAAGTCTTCAAATAAATGTCCCATTATCAAAATGCAGGGGGTAGTATATAGTATTATAAAACTAATTCTTCTCAAAGAGGTGGCTATTTTTGTAAAAAATTTACCTTATTCAAAAATGGGACAGATGCTTTGAAAAGATCAGTGGTGAAGAAAATAATTTTATTTTCTCTTACGTAGTGGTCAGGATTTCACAATTTATAAACCAACATTCTAGTCTCAAGCACAAACATTTTTCTATGTATCAGCTATAATACCGGTACTACATGTACAAAATTGTAAATAAATATCCCAATCCACTAGGAAGATATTATACTTTTTTCCGATTTCAAAATATAATTTCAACACTCTGCATCTTGTTAAACGGGGGCATTTATGGACTCATCTTTATGAAACTTTTCATTTGATTTTTGATCTGCTTTATGCCTTACAAATATTGAAAAGTTTTTTTAATCACCTTGTATAGGCTCTCAGGTAGACTGATGGGCAGAATTAACAGATTGAAAAATTGACTAATTAACCAACCATAAGACTACCAGTGAGAACAAAGGATTTACGAATTGATAGATAAGACAAATCGACTGACATATTTCTATACTGAAGAAGCTACGTTGTGGGTGCCTTAACAGCAAGGCATCAAGATTGCTACAAATAAGTAATAGATTCTGTTGATGTGATTTGAAACCTTCTGGGGTTTGTAAATCCGGTAAAATACGTTATCTAGTAAACTGTTCCACGTTTTTGTCTCCCTTGTAACAAAGGACGATCAGGGGCCGATTTAGAAAATATTTTGGGGGATTGCATTTTCTTAACATGGACATTTTTTTGGGAGGGGCGACCTCAGGACACCCTCCCCTGGATCCGCTATGGTAGCGATCATACCAGCCAATTGTTAATGTATTAAGAGTGAAAACCCACAAGTCACTTGTTTATTGGTGGAGAAAGAAGACATATGAAGGAAAAAATGGAGCCTTGATTTCAAACAAAAAGCCACCAAGCGTTAAATTCCGCTCTTCTGAACCTCATCAGACATGTTGGCAGTGATTCCAACCTGGGTCATAACTAGGCCTTTTTGGTACAGAGTAGTTCGAAACAGCTTCTTCTTAGCGGCTCACTGACAGGAGACATACAGGCAGACTGACATTCCATATCGGCAGATAACCGATCTATCAACTACTTTCCAGTGGTGTTTGGTTTGAGAGTGATACGCTCCCGAACTGTTCCAGAAACAATGCATGAGAATACAACGTGCAGTGGAACGGTATTGGTACAGAGCACTGCTGAGTTACTCCGAGTTACTCAGAGTAACTCAACAGGGTCACTGGAAAGCAGCTATAGACAGGCCGACCATATTGATTGTATACAAACAAGGCCGAGTAATCGACTGATAGAGATAGAGATGCTAGAGATTTCTGGCTTACGCAGACCTAAGAACCTAAAACATGCATATAATTTCAATTTATTAGATACATATACAGCAAATAACATGCCGATAATACGTATGTTTGTCATGTTGTGGTCGATCAGCCCACCTCAATGTTTTTTTTTTAGATCAGACTGATGCACTCCACTGGCGCTGACCGGAACTATACAAGGTGTCCGGTAAATAGTACGACAAAAATAGGGACGATAGGCAAAGGGTGGATCTACAACATACTAAAAAATGACCCTTTTAGTTTTACACTGTTATTCAGATATTAATTTTTTTGTCTTTTTCGAAAAATTTCTTCTTTTTATCTATCTTTTGTTGCTGTGTCTAGAAATAACGGGATATCTGTTTGCTTTTTTTGCAAAATATTCTTAAATAGTTGGTCTGCTATATCATTTTCGATACAAGTAGGTAAACTTGACAAATTGACAAACCAATTTCTTCTTCCTTATTTTTATTTTAGAAACCTATTATACTCAACTTTGGTATTCAGCAATGAATAAAAATGTACTAGACTGCTACTGCAAAGTACTGCGATAAATTACCTGCTTAATCAGCAACAAAAGGTGGATCAAACAAGGAAATTTTTCTAAAAAGACCAAAAAAATATTATTATCTGAAAAACAGTGGAGCCTTTATTAGGATCATCTTTTGGTATGTTGTAGATTTGCCTTTTGAATATTTTCCCCATTTTTTGTCGTACTAATTACCGAACACTCTGTATATATTTTCCATTATTTTTTTGGTAGTTGGTCAACACTCTATACTGCTCAAAATTCAAAAAATATGTCAGCTTCGCATAATAAGACAAAGGACTAAAATGAATTGAGTAACATGGTAGACACAGACAATAGTTATAAATAATAGTCAAGATGTGTTACTTCCAGTTTCACTAAAGTTTATTAGTGTCAATAATAGCCTTTTGTTGATATCTTTTTTCCAATATTTTCCCAATCTTAGTGGTATCAAAATGCAATTGAATCGAATGCTCTCAGAGATATGTCAATAGGAAAACTGCAATCAAAAAAAGAAAAGGAAAGATTTCAATGTTATACTTGATAATGCGGTTATAATAAAACTTGACATGTAACTTTGTAAGTAATAAACTTTGGAAGCTTTCAAGCTATGGAAATTTGTATATACATTGCGTCCAATATAAGAATCCAATACCTGTGGAATATACAGCTTAGGCTAAATCAGGAAAAAGCTGAGTTCATTGGAGCGTATTTACATGCCGATGAGAAACCCGTGAAAGTTTCATGGCTTACTGAGGTGTTTGGGCACAAAGTTTATATTTGTTTCTGGCTTTATTTTGAGGAATATCGAAAAACTAATAGATCTTTTTCATTGGCTCCTTTCAGATACATGTTCGTTCGAAAACGAACCGTTGGGCACAAAATTCAAAAACACCATCATGTAGTGCCTAAAAAGTACCAATGAAACACTTCCATTAGTTTCTTGATATTCCTCAGAATAAAGTCAGAAAAAAAATGTTTGGTGAACTTTTACTTTTTCCCTAACATCTCAGTAAGCTATGAAAGTTTCTGAACGGCATGTAAGTTCCCTCAAAAGCGCGCAACTTTTTCCCAATTTAACCTAAGCTGTATCTCCAACAGTATTAACATCGCCATGTATATGACCCTTATCTTGGTCACACTGTATTTAGTTCATATCTCTTCAGAGCTTGACCAACAACCAAACAAAAGAATAATCCTCTAACCACTTTCAAAATCAGGGTAAAACGTGCGAGTGATGCGGATGCAACACCTCACCAACTACAATGAACAAGATACAGTCGGCAGTCCTAGCAGTGGTCATGAGCGTGTTTCTTATCCAAGCTACTGATCCACCTTACGAAAAACCAAGCGGATCTTTCATCCAGTTTTATCCAGTTAGACAACGCAGAATAGACAATGTCGAACCCAAATACACTCAAGTTATCTTTAGAGACAACTCGTTCACAAGGAGCATAGGATCATTCAATGCTTTAGATAGTAGTCAAAAGCCCGTCCAGAGTACAACTCCAGGAAACTACGTCCCAAGTAGCTTAGTACCACAAAAGAGCACTATCACAAACTTCCTATCGGGCTCGAATCTGCCTTTGTATCCACCGTTGGTACCGATACCGAATGCACCAACGACTCCAGTACCAGATCAAAAGTTTGCTGAGTCGGCTCTTCCGCAGTACCCGCCGGTACGACTACAGTTCGACGTATCGAAAGTACCAGAAGCGCAACAAAACCGTTATGACGCTTTAGGAAGGTTGCATAACTACCTGACGAAAATTGGAGACAGAAGCGGAGTACCGGATGAGGAAAGATCATCGTACGAGAAACTATTGGCCAAGGAATTAATCAGACCGTTGCTTAAGCTGTATGAGAAGCAAATTCACTATGAGGCTGGTTACGAAACGTCTAACGGGACTTTGAACGGTCGGATTTCGAAGGAAGACTATGTTGAAGATTTCAAGGTACTGTCAAAGGAAGAGCTTGATATGCTTATGTACGGCGGAGAGAAGTACCAGAATAATCATAAGCACGATGCTGAGGATAGCCAAAGCTTGGATCCCGAAGATAGCGGGAAGAGAAAGGTGGATGATAATGACAGTACCGCTTCTACAAGTGAAGATAGTGGTTCTACTAACGGAATCCGTAGAGACGATGTGGATGTATCGGAAAATAACGATAAAGAACATATAGGTGAGATCCTACCTCCAGAATTCAAAAAGTCGCAGCAAAGTTATCCTCAAACTCATCGAAGGATGTACCATCATATAATTTTCAACCCCGCGAACTATCGGATGCGCAAATCGTACGACTACAACGATCGCGCTGAGTTACCGCGGATTCCTGTAACCTTTCCCACGGCTCCTTCATCCGAAGGAGCAGATGGTGCCGGGTACCACCGAGTACCAAGACTCAACCTCCCGCCGCAGGAATTGTATCGAGCCCCTAGGAGGTTCAGGGGCTACCGTGAATCGTACTCCGAGGGGCCACCGCATCCGTACTTCGACCCTTCCGCGAGGTACCATAACGCGTGGACTGCCAGAAGACCGCGAGTGATCTTTCCAACGGATTTAGTGGCGTTCAGGGATTCTGCGAATCAGGAGCAAGAGCCAGATTGGTTGGCTGGAGATAATAATCTGCAAGATATTCAGGAGCCGGATCTTAGAGACAGAGGTGAGTTTTGGGTTAAGCTTAGCGGGTGATGGGTGAGAAGCGACTGAAACAGCTGATGTCATGACACTATTTCCTGATCGGACTGCCACCATTTACAGAAAGCAATTTTGGAATAGTTTATGTGTGTTGGGTATTAATGATGTTTTTCATTTGAAAGACACATGAGTTGTATTTTATATATGGAATATGACATCGGACAACCAGCTACCGGGGATACATCCAGTGGCATGGATTAAAGAGGTCCAATTTTTATTGATATTGGCGTACCATCATCCGGAAATTTATAGAAGCCTTAGCATTTTTAAACATTCTCAATGTTTCATTTTGCACCAGAGATTTCTCAATTTTGTTCATGTGTCACGCCAAAAAGTCTAAGCTGTATTATTGTGTTGAACTTGTGAGTCAATCTGATCCATTATATTTTTTCCAATCGTGCTATTTCACTTTTGAAAGGGCTCCAACCCGAATATTTTGTACCACAGTACCAAAAAAATTATAAGCGCTATTTCCATTGTTACGAGGGATGTTTTTAAGTTTTACATATAGAAACATAGTAGGCGGACCGAACGTCAGTACTGAATCTTAACCTCACTCTTTAGTAAACTTAAATTCAAAGTTTCACAACAATACGTGCAGTGTTCTTACTATACTGAATTTTTAAGTGTCACCAAGTCATTAGAAAAATGGAACTCCACCGAGAACATTTTCGCGCCATAATCTATTACAACTTTCAGAGATTGAGGCGTCCTTGAAGATCTCAAAGACCTCAATTCAAAAAATTCTACATGAAGAATTAGGAGTAAGAGAATTAGTTTCTCGTTGGATACCCCACTTGTTGACTGAAGATCAGAAAGCAGCCAGGGTTAATTGGTGTCAAAAAACGGAAACTTAAAAAATGTGTACAGCTTTGTTAGTGGTGACGAATAGTGGATTTACTGTTATGAACCAGAAAATAAACGACAGTCGGCTGTTTGGGTGTTCCAAGGTGAAGAAAAGCCAACAAAAGTCATCCGTTCTCGAAGTGTTTCGAAAAAGATGGTCGCGACATTCGTGTCAAAAGCGGGTCATATTGCAACAATTCCTCTTAATGAGCAAAGAACTGTTACTGCGGATTGGTATACCACCATTTGTTTGCCAAAAGTCATCACCGAGCTTCGAAAAATCAACCCAGAAAGAAGAATCATCCTCCACCAAGACAACGCAAGCTCGCACACAGCCCAAAACGTGGAATTATTGCACCATCCTCCATATAGTCCCGATCTAAGTCCTATCGATTTCTTTACCTTCCCGAAAATTAAAAACAGACTGTGTGGTCAAAGGTTCCAGTCACCAAAAGAAGCAGTTGACGCATTCAAAAATGCCGTTTTGGATCTGCCAGCAAACGAGTGGAATAAGTGCTTCGAAAATTGGTTCGAGCGCATGCAGATGTGTATTAATCTTCGTGGAGAATACTTCGAAAAACAAGAAAGTCATTTAAAACTACCTACCGTGTTGTTTTATTTCCACATGCAAAACTTAAAAGACATCCCTCGTATTATTGAGAATGCTCATCAGTTTTGGGTGAGTTCTATCGCAGTTTACTGGATTACTATTTTTTTTTTCTTTTCCGTACATACTTTAAACTTATCCTTTTACTAAATTATAAAATTCAAAAAGATGTTTCTTGTGAAAAATGAAAGCTACTCCGACAGGACCTTATGGTCGTTTTTGAGAAAACAGTTTGAAAACATCAAATATATATGTGGACTTAGTTGCGGTCTTTAATGTGAATAGAATTAACGTTACGGCGATTTTTCTGAGGCCTTTGCAACCGTCCCCCCACGAATATGCTCGTGAGGACATTTCTTGAATGGTTAATTTAAGAAAAATCTGGAATCTATTTTAACTCCATGGTTAACTAAGAAGTGTCTGGAAAAAGACTTTCCCCAGAAAATTAGTGCGAATCAGAAACTTACAGAAACTATTGAGCATTTTTCCGGTTTACTCATTATTCTGTAACAAATAAATTCTAACATGTATTACTTTTTTGTAATAGAAAATTAATCACTACAGCAAATTGAGCATATATACGAATAATTCATAATTTTTTTGATATATGCGAAAATGTGCTTTCAGCTTTGTCGCTTAATAACAAAGTTGCACAGATTGTAAAACCCAAATTTACGTTTTTACTTACTACGCCACTGGGCGAACAATTATTGTAATCGCAAGAACTTTTGAAAATGAGATATTGTGTTTTTTGGATGTTACATGACATGTGCATCACGAAAAACCATGTCACTTATTTCTGTCGGTCTATTTGTCTGTCGGTCTGACTGTCAGCTTTGATTTTGACGACATTTTCTTACAAAGCTGCTACTATGCCAAGGACAAAAAAACTTTGTAGTTTTTGAAAACCGATTCACTATCGGAAGAGAAAAAAAAGCAAAAACAAAAAAAATTTAAGTCCCTTAAATTTCTGGGATTGGGAGTTGTAGGCGGTGAGGGAATGTATATGAATATTTTTTTTAGTTTCGGTTTGTTTATACGCTCCCAGACCCAATAACTATATGCACCTATTAGCCTTATCTTACACATCATAGATTTCCCCTTAAATTCGACTTTAAGTCTACGAATGATATATATATATACAGGGTGACTTTGAAGTTGAGTCATTAATTTTCAGATAATGATTGTAGAAGGAAGATAAACCAAAATATGTGTGTAAAAATAAAAAAAAAATAAAAAAAAATGTTACCTTGTTTAATAAAGTATCCTCCCGACAAGTATTTCAGTGCGGACCTGTATTTGATCGTGCGGTCTTGGAGCAGCATGCCCTCACCTGTGAGGTCTTAAGTCACCTGATTCACGAGCCCTTTGCACTACATTAACAAAGGCACGAGGGGTTGGTTGCACTCGATTGGGAAACCGATTCGCATAAATCCGTGATGCATCCGGGAGCATTTTGTAAAGACTGCCCCCCCGTAAATAAGAATCATGTCCACAAGTTCAGCATTTTCGTAAACATGTGCCATTTTTGATTTCGTTTGAGCCACGCAACACACTACTATTCACTCAGGATTTATCGACTGACGAAAAACATCGTGATAAACGTTTCAAATTCTTTCGCTTTTTTGTTTCCGATGCGATGAACCGGTCAGGCGGATTATATCCGTTGTCGCCAAACACGAGCATATAATAGGCAGGGCGGTACTCAAACTTCCAAAGGGCTATAACTTTGTTACTTTAATTTTACCAGAAAAATGGTAAATGAAAAAAACATTTCTTTTGATCAGATCTACTCACTGTTAAAATAAATGACTCAACTTCGAAGTACCCTGTATATATACGGAGCATTGACGGAATTAACTATAACTCGCTGCACCGATGTCGCGAAGATATGGAAAGGGCAAAGTTACCAGGTGGACAGTAACTACTGTAGGGCAGGGAAAGAATGTCTACAGATTAAGTGTGTGGGCCTGTTTGACTGACTTGATCCATTTAATTTCTCTGTTGTACATGTTCGTGACTGATTTTTTTTTCTCAGAGAACTTAAATGGCGCTGAACTCGATCGATTATGAACTATGGCAGCGTAGCGTCAGAGTGCAAGAGTCAACCTACTTGACGCCATTTTTCGTAAAACAGAGTCGATTTTATGTTGGAATACATATAACCCAAACCACCTTCGTCTGGATCAGTTCTTGCATGCCGAAGTTTCGCAACGCTGATAGAGATGCAGCTCACTCAGAAACTGGGACACTCTATCAATTACCTAGAATAAATTGTAAATAAAACCAGCTAGTAGATGTATTTTACAACTGATAGTGCATAGAGAACCTATACATACAAAGATCTAATCAACATCATGACTAATACACATCCGACAGCACTATGACGTATAGTATACGTTTATCCATGAACTGTTAAGAGGATTTCGAAATCACAGAGATGCGTCCATCCAAATCACTGGCATAACACCAGCCTTATTAATATAAAAATTATAAAACATTTTCTAACGCTTAATGATCTTATTAATGTTTCATAGATTTTGTAAGCATTAGAAAACGATGCGGCGTCAAGGCCCGCGTTCGTTCTCACTTCCACTACTCATCATTATAGTACAGTAAAAATAGTAAATACAAGTAATCACGTTAATCATTTGAGAGATACTGAGTATCCAATGTCCAAATTCACAGAATGTTTAAGAGATCTCGAAAGTTCCTATTTTGTCTGGTGTCAAAAATTTTGCTTGGTGCTTATCATAAGTGTTACCAAACACTAATCACTAAATACTAGAAATGCCAATGTTAAAGGATTTGTATCAAATAATATTATAGTTCGATCTCTGGATGTATGTTCTTATAACATCAACTTGGGCCCTTACGAAAAATGTGATATTCTGCTACGGTAATTCAATCATCATAAGAAACTATAGAAAATCGTTTAAAAGAGTGATCGAATGAAAGAGGAAGAAGGTATTGAAACGTAACTTCAAGATTTAAAAAGATCCGCCATCTAGTTTTGTAGATATTCAGTAGGAATTTTTTATTTTGTTCGATAGCTCGATATAAAAACAAAATACAGTGTAATTCTATTACTGCTAAGCGTTTTCTGCCCCATGAAGTTTCACCTCCCACTTTAATTGGAAAAAATATTTTAATTATTGCTAGCACAGTACCGAGTTAACATACTACTACAAAGGGAAATGCTAATTTACTAATAGCTGGACCTTCGTTAGCCCCTTATAGTTTACATGCAGTCGTATAGTAACCATAAAAAGTGATTCAAAAAACAATGACGATATTAAATAACATAAAGAGTCTCTGTTCTTCTAGCCACGATGCTAGGTTTTGTAAATTTCTACGCCGTTGGTAGACTTATTGAGGGCAATCCATGAATATTCTTAAAATGCATACATAAAATCTTTAATGTTAAAATTAATTAGTTTCAGAGTATTCTCAAAGTATAGCGGTTTTGAGGTTTTTATGACTTACCTCAAATATTCAAACCATTTTTTCTC